CCAAATATAAAAGTAGGTGGGCCATCTTGGTGCCACGTGTCGAAAGAAGAGTGAATTTTTATTCACTCTTCTTATATACTCCCTCTGTCCCAATTTATATGACTCACTTTCCTTTTTAGTCAGTCCCAAAAAGAATGACACATTTCTATTTTAAGTAACAATTTGCCTATGAAATGTCTTTTTTACCCTTAATGAAATGATTTACAACCACACAAATTTCTATCATTCATTTTGGACCACAAGTTTTAAAAGTCTTTCCATTTTTCTTAAAGTTTGTGCCAAATCAAAGCACATCACATAAAATGGGACGGAGGGAGTAATAAATAAGAAAGAGTCTTTTTCTCTCCCTTCCTCACCTCTTACTCTTTGTCACACTTGTATCTTTTTCAATCTCCTGACAATAATTGTATCCCATGATGTATTTTTTGAATTATTTTAATGATTATAAACCGATTTTAACTATTTCATGCCCGATCCATAGTAGATATATGAGAAGAAAAGAGATGATGAAGAAGAAGACAACGCTGCCATGGGAATAGCAACACAACCAATTACATCTCGTCCTTGTCACAAATATCCAGTAATTCATCAAGTCGCAGAAAATCTCAATTCTATGTCCCAAGATTATCATCACCACAGTCTCTTCAGTTTCCCTAATGGGTTCGAGAGATCACAAGCCGAACAACAGCACCAGCAACAACAGCAGCAGCACCAGCAACACATGGCTGCTCAACAGATCCGCCGAGATAAATTGCGGGTGCAAGGATTCGAACCGTTTGAAGAAGAAACAAGTACAGTTTATGAGACAGCTGGAATGTTATCTGAGATGTTTAATTTCCCTCCTGGAACCACCGCAACCAACGCAGCAGAATTATTAGAAACTCAATTCAATCCGAATTTTAGACAGCCAAATCCACGGCCGCAGCAGATTCATGCTGCGGCCATGGGGAACGAGTGGTTCGGGAACCACCGACAAGGTATGGTAGTGGGTGGAGGTGCAAGTAGTCAACAATTGGGATATGCAAAAAATCATACTCCTAATGCGGCGGAGTCCATGCAACTTTTTCTAATGAATCCACAACCAAGGTCACCTTCTCCGTCTCCTCCTAATTCAACTTCTTCCACGCTTCACATGTTGTTACCGAACCCGTCATCTACTTCAACACTTCAAGGGTTTCCTAATCCGGCCGAAGGATCTTTCGGTCAATTCATGACATGGGGGAATGGAGGAGCAAGTGCTGCCACAGCCACCCATCATCTCAATGCCCAGAATGAAATCGGAGGAGTAAACGTTGTAGAAAGTCAAGGACTATCTCTATCCTTGTCTTCTTCGTTACAGCACAAGGCGGAGGAATTACAAATGAGCGGAGAAGCTGGAGGAATGTTGTTCTTCAATCAAGGTGGGTCTAGTACTTCCGGGCAGTATCGATACAAGAATTTGAATATGGGTGGATCAGGAGTAAGCCCAAACATTCATCAAGTCCATGTTGGGTATGGGTCATCATTAGGAGTGGTCAATGTGTTGAGGAATTCCAAATACGCGAAAGCTGCCCAGGAACTACTGGAAGAATTCTGCAGTGTTGGAAGAGGTAAATTGAAGAAGAATAACAACAAAGCAGCAGCCAATAACCCTAATACGAACCCTAGTGGCGCTAACAATGAAGCTTCTTCAAAAGATGTTCCTACTTTGTCCGCTGCTGATAGAATTGAGCATCAGAGAAGGAAGGTCAAACTTTTATCTATGCTTGATGAGGCATGTATCCTAATCTCTCTCTTATCTCTCTATCTTACGGGGTCAATGGCCAATCATTGTTGTTTGTTTAATCTGTTAATTAAACAAACAAAAAAAATCTAACAGAAAGCTACGGCATTTTTTGTGGAATTAATATTATATAAACGAGGACCAGCTAGAAAAGGCCGGCTAGGGGATTAGATTTCGTCATTTCCATAGATTTTGTTTGTTGTGTTTGATTACATTCTAATTAAGAAATCCGTATTTTTAGAATAAATAAAGAGTAATTCGACGGTTTTAGATTTCCGACGAGTAGACGGAGATATGCAATTCAATTATTGTCATGATAATTATATTAGCAAGTAAGCTACACAAAGCCAGTTAATGTCAACCATGTTTGGTTAATATTTGACCTTAATCTTAATCATTACTTACATTTCTTTATTCAAATACTACAAAGTACACTAAGACTTATTTTCACTTGACATCAATAATTATTTAAATGGTACTAACAGTAAATTATGTTATAAGCAGGTAGATAGGAGGTACAATCATTACTGTGAACAAATGCAGATGGTTGTAAATTCGTTTGATTTAGTGATGGGTTTCGGCGCAGCAGTTCCCTACACAGCACTAGCACAGAAGGCAATGTCGAGACATTTCAGGTGTTTAAAGGATGCAATAGGAGCACAATTGAAGCAGTGTTGTGAGTTATTAGGAGAGAAAGATGCAGGAACTTCGGGATTGACTAAAGGAGAAACTCCGAGGCTTAAGATGCTTGAACAAAGTTTGAGGCAACAAAGGGCGTTTCACCAAATGGGAATGATGGAACAAGAAGCTTGGAGACCACAAAGAGGCTTACCTGAACGTTCTGTCAACATTTTAAGAGCTTGGCTTTTTGAGCATTTTCTACACCCGTACGTATATCTATCTATCTATCTATCTATCTATGTTTTGCAATAGATACATTTTTTTTATATTAGTATTAGTTATTTAAAATATAACAACGGAAAATGAGACAAAATATCTGCTATAACAAGTTAAATATCATTGATAGGTCAAAAGAATTTTTTTTAATATCTAAATTTTAATTTTTGAATATAAAATTTATTTAATCTAATTCAGCTTCAAAGTTGAGTTAAATTGATTCTCGAGAGGTAAATTGTGGCTAAGTTAAGTCTTTCACTGTCAATGTATTTTATAGTATGTTATAGCAATCAATTTTCCTTATTGTTTTTCTTAATCTTCAAGTTACTACTTCACTTTTATAGGAGTAGGTTAATAGGAGGATCTTTTAAACTATTAGTGTGTATATATAAGTTAAACCCGTACATTCTTCCATTGACTGTTCTAAAGTCTAACCTTTTTCATTCACAAGAAGTCTTAAACTCCTAATACCGATGGAATCTGAATCTTTTTTATATTTTTTACTGTATAAACAAAAGTCTAAAGCCCCATTATTATGGAATTATGAAGAGACAAAATGAAGCTTCAAACACATCAATCAACTTTTTTTTATTAGTCTAAGACACATTTCCAACATCTCTTTTTTAGCTTTTCCTTTTTCTTTTTTTCTTTCCCTTGCAGTGTCTCTGAGTTTAAAGGAATTCCAATTCAGTGTCCTTTGATGTATAAAGTATAATTTACGTTCTTTACTTTATTTTTCTTTTCCTCTAGTACAAGCTCTTTTCTCCTGGATCCAATGCCCTACTACTGCTGACATTGGCATGAATTTGAACAATAACGAAAAGAAAACCAACCTATTCATTATGCAAAGTAACAATAATGATGATAAAAGCAACTTGCGAGCTGCTCCTTCCATCCTCTCGTTCTTTTTGAGAATCAATTTGAATCAGAATAATGTAATATTTTGAAATTTTAAAACTTGGATATTAATTAATTATATGAAAAGTATTTCTGATAGATTCTCATTTTTTTCATGCCAGTATATGATGAAAATATGTACTTATAAAATGTTGAGTGAAAATTTACATAGTTTGACTATAAGAGAAAACGAGAACAACCACATGAATTGGGACGGAGAGAGTACGGCACAAAAGAAATGGTAAAATAAAATAGAATCTATGTAGTAAAGAATATGTTATGAAAAAGATAAGTGCATGCAGTTTTTTTTTTTTGGGTTTACTTGTGTGAATAGTGGCAGAGAGGTACTGTAATTGCTGCTGTTGGTTCTTGGATTGTCACGCCCATGCAGAGAGAAAAAATAATGTTAATTCAGATCTAGTGATAAAGAAAGTTAGTCATCTCTTTATACAGTTTTGGTAAGGAATATGATTTTATTTTTTTGGTTTGTGTTTGTGTGGTTGGTTTTTCTCAGGTATCCAAGTGATGCTGATAAACATCTGTTGGCAAGACAGACTGGTCTCTCCAGAAATCAGGTTTGCTTTATTTCTATTCTGAATCCTCTGTTCTTTCTCTTTCAAGTTTTCTTATTCACATTATGCATATGCTACACTTCTTTTTCCCTATGAAATTAAACAAGTAGTTTTACTTTAACTTTTCATTCCTATAGTTTGAAGAGAAATACATATATGAGTCGTTGCGAATTGAGTATTCGAAAAATAGAAATATAATCCAATCTTCTTAACCATAGAGGGTAGTATTTTATTTTTAGTTTCAAGAAAATGTAGAGTTAATTTAGCTAAATAGATATTGAATTTATTACTTATTACCAATAAAAATTATTTAAAATAAAAGAAGTAATAATTTGTGTGGTACATGACTTTCTTTTTCTTCCCCTAAGGGCAGAGAATGAACATTTTTTTTCTGTTTATATTATTTCTACAAAGACATAAATTCTAGGTTTGTGAAATAAAATATTAAGGAATAGTAAGTGCAGAGGCAAAGTATACATTTTTCAACGACCCATTAAAGTTTACAGCTCTGTTTGTCCATACTCCATCCATTCCCTCTTTTGTCTGGTGAATATTGAACCTAGCCACACTTGTCGATCCCTATTAATTAAATAATATGTCATAGGTTGAAATGTCATGGGTTTTTTCTTCCTCTTTAAAACAAAAATTTATTTCAAGAAACTGAAAAATGCAATGTTGGTCATACATGTTTTCAATTTAGTGACATGATTGGATCTTATTCACTGAAAGATGAAATATAATTAACACTTGTGGGGTAGTATATATTTACTCTTTTGAACGTTTCTACACTTCTATCCTTAACTCCCTTTCACATCATCTATCATTTCATTCTCCTCCAGATATTTTTTTTAAAAAGTTCTACTCTCACTCTATGTTGTGTATTTAGTTTAATTGAATCCTATTTAACAAGAATTAAACCTATGTCTCAATTTATATGGTATTTTTCGAATTTCCAGAGTAATCGTTCAAAAAAATATTTCTTACCTATTTTAAACAATTTTTTAATTCTATTTTTCGTAAGATATGTCTAAGCACACAAGATTAAAAGACATTTTGATACATTTTACTGTATGTATCTATAATTTAAAGCTATAAAGATTCAAAAGACTGATTTTCTTAAAGTCTGTATAAGTTGAGATCAGACAAATAAATTGAAACAGAAGGAAAGATATATAGTACATGAAAGTTAATCTCTTATTATAAAAAATAAGAGTCTTAATAAATGAAAGTTAATTAATGTTGTGTATATGAATGTGGTAATTATTCAGGTATCAAATTGGTTCATTAATGCTAGGGTTCGGTTGTGGAAACCCATGGTAGAAGATATGTATCAACAAGAAGCCAAAGATGGAGATGGAGATGGAGATGAGAAGAGCCAAAGCCAAAATAGTGGCAATAATATAATTGCACAAACACCAACGCCTAATAGCCTGACTAACTCTTCATCTACTAATATGACGACGACAACAACAACAGCCCCTACAACTACGACAGCACTAGCTGCTGCAGAGACAGGAACAGCTGCCACTCCCATAACTGTTACCTCAAGCAAAAGATCCCAAATCAATGCCACTGATAGTGACCCTTCACTTGTAGCAATCAATTCCTTCTCGGAAAACCAAGCTACTTTTCCGACCAACATTCATGATCCCGACGCTTGCCGTCGCGGCAACTTCTCCGGTGACGACGGGACCACCACACATGATCATATGGGGTCCACCATGATAAGGTTTGGGACCACTGCTGGTGACGTGTCACTCACCTTAGGGTTACGACATGCAGGAAATTTACCAGAGAATACTCATTTCTTTGGTTAATTAATACGTATTTTCCCCATAGTAATTAATTAAAACTGAATTTGCTTGAGCTCATCATAATTTATGCCTTGCTTTTTGTTATAAGAAATTCCATAAATTAGCTTTGTGTTAGCATTGAGCGAGCAAGCGCTATGAGATATTTATTTTTACTGTAATTGTATAGTAGTAGTAGTACATTATTAAATTTTTCCACCAGCTTCTTGTTTCATTGTACTTATAGTGTCTTGTACCTCATGAAAGCTGGTTTTGGACAATAAAATGAGACTGTGTTTTCATATGTTCTAATTACCTTATTTATTGGGTTTGGAATCTTTATAAAAGTGTACAAAATTCATACACAGTAACAGTAATAGTCTCATTGCTTTGTTCTTATATACTACTCCCTCCGTTTCACAAAGAATTATCTCCTTTCCTTTTTAGTCAGTTTAAAAAAAAATGACCTCTTTCCTTTTTTGGTAACATTTTACTTTTTGCTTTCTACGTGGCATATTTAAGACCACAAGATTAAGGGCAATTTTGTACATTTGACATAACTTTAATTTAGGACCACAAGATTCAAAAGTCTTCTTTATTTACTTAAACTCCGTGCCAAGTCAAACCAGGTCATTCTTTGTGAAACGGAGGGAGTATCTCTTTGTTTCTTCCTTTAATTTTATCTAAATTTTCTTCTACTTAAAGGCCTACTAGCTTAGCACCTAGTCCCAAGAAGCTAAGGCTTTGTTTCTTTGTGGGGTGGAAGAGCTAGCTAGGGAATATGTCAATCAAAGTATCCCTATATATGTCCAGACCTACAATGGGGACAAATGAGGGAACTAATTATGTGTAATGTGAATGCAATCATAAGGTAGCTAGAAAACTTTTTCATGCAAAAGATTTATTAATATTCCTCAATTATTTATTATTTAAACCATGTATGGTGATAGAAAGCAACAATCCATCTGATTAAATTTCCATCTCTATTATTATTAGAAGACATTTTCTTGGTGCGAGTAACATCGTCAATACATATCCAACTGCCACAGTACGTAATATATTAAAGTAGATCGTTTTATTTCATACGTAATAATCAATAGTCGCGTTTTATCTTCGAATGTGCGAAAACCAAAGAAAAATAAAATATGTGCAATAATGTTGGTAAGGAAAACAAGTAGAAACTCGTTGTTCTGGTGAGTTGGTTATGTTACCTATTTTGTCCAACTTCTTTTCTTAAAATTCAAACATACAATTAGATGCACAGTTACAATCACCTTTCACCTAATATCCTTTCCTTGTGATGTCTTTCTATTTTTATATTTGCAGAGCAGTTCTGAATGGTAAGGTGATATGTCAGACTCATTAGTATGAAGTAGCAAGTAAAACTCAAAATGCTTGGGAGTAGATTTTGTCTATTTATGCTAAGAGTGTCCCCATCTACTGACTATATGAGGAGATGTCATTTTCGAGTAATAAAATGCAATTGGCATCTACACTTAACTTACTACATTTATTGTACATGTTTGGTTGGAAGATATATACTTATTATGAGCCTCTCTTATTTAGCTGCTACTACTTCACACAATACTCACCTCAGTCTTCAGATCTGAATTCTTTGTGTTAGTCCAGTCTCCACATAATTAATTCTCATTCATAAATCTTTTAAGGATTTAAATTTACCTACTTCAAATTTGTCTCCTATAATTATTGTACGGATGTTTAAGCAAATCCAAAGGATCTTACTACTCCACCGTGCATTCATTATCGATTATCATCTCCAAATTTTAAAACACCCCACTGAAATTTAATTAGCTCTCCCTCCATTATCATTTAATTTTACTAATTAAACTCATAATTCAAGAAAGGAAAGAGAACGTTTAGCAGATATAAGAAGTAATTAAGGGAATTAACTAAATTAATTAGGACCCGTTTGGCCCTAGATTTCCCAACTAATATTTGGAGAAAAATTTGGCAAATATCCCAAATTCCCAAATACTAGTTTTTCTAGTATTTGGGCCAAATCTCATTATTTGGGATCTTTTAAAAATTGAAATTTTACACCATACTTTTATCTTTTACAAAAACACTCTCTATAGTAGTTGTTTGTGTTGTATTACATAATTTTTTACGTGAACACCAAAGTAGTGATGAAATATTCAATGATTATGAAAGTGATGATATGGTTGTTGATGAAAATGATGAACAATCGGCTCAAGGTAACAAAGTCATGTGCTTTGTCTACTTCACGATGTATGGAATGATGCTTGTTGCACTCACTCCAAACTACCACATTGCTCCCGTGTCATAGACACTACTTGTTATTTGTTGCAACGAAGATTCAATTGACGTGTAATACAAACTTATGGTTAGTTTTGATAGTTTTTAAAACTTATGGGTATAAATCATATTTTTCTAAAAAAGTGAAATATTTTCCCAAATATTATGGCCAAACACATGGTGAATTTTCTAATGTATCAAGATATCTTTGAATCTGGGGTATTTATAAGCATGTTAACGTTGAAATTAAAGAGTTACTTACAAAATATAAAAATGGCATTTGCATACTTTATCTGGACCTGATAAACAAATGTTATAGTATGATTCTGATCTGATCTAGCTCATGGATACCTTTATGAATAAAAAAAAGATTGTAGTCGATTTGATAATGATGTACTAATATTGTTTTTTTCGACCCGACGAATCCCTCATAACACACTTCTTTGTTAATTTTGAAAACCAAATGGTGCCCAAGTATGCTGTAATTAGGATATATGTCATGACTCATGAATTAATGGAGTGACCCCTCCGAATGGTTTCTTTGTCTTTCTCTCTCTGTTAATTTACTATTCTCACTGCTTGTGGTTGACCAATATAATCAATACTAATGTCAATCGTACAAACTTCATATATAGTGTTTGGGCAATACAAATTTGTCTTCAAATAAATAAAGCAAAGGCTACTTTTTTTTTTTTAGCAATATAGCAGTACATGACTTGAAGTTTGGCTAAGGTGGCCCCCTATTCTGATTGAATGGAAGAGCAAACAATAAAGATGCATGTCCTATTCATGGCCCCCCCACTAATCAGATTAGGCTCAAGGGACTTTGGATCATGTGGCACAAGATGTTGTTTGGCCTTTTTAAGTTTTAACAAAATCACAAACAAACTTACTTCAATTTCTTCCTCCTTTTGAGTGGTTGTCCATTTTGATCATCTCTAAATACAAGTAACTGAAATGTTAGTTCAGCTGGTCTATCTTGTTTCAGATAAGCAATATTTGGATTTCACCTTCTACTTTCAAACAATGTGTGGACAAGCTAGTAAAGGCGGATCTAGAATTTTGATTTCTGAGTCACTAGTAAAATTTTAGTACAATATTGGGTAATAAAAAATGCTAGCTAGATTTAATATTATATTTGTCCATCCGCCACACGAGGTATAGGAGAAAAGGATGTCATTGTCCTGGAATTCCTATAGGTGAATGACTAGTGCTACTATAAGAAAATGATAATGAATCGATCGATCATTTTCACCATGCAAGAGTTCTCTGGTAAAAACACTTATGTTTTGAAAAAAACTTACTCATGCATATTGATTGTGACAAGAGACGGAGACTCACACAGCTACTTAATTTTGTAGCAGCTAGCTAGATGAGTATGTTATAAGGACCACTATAGTTCTGAACCAACATTACTAAAGCAATCAATGAATGAGAACTTTCATGATTTCAATCGACCAATAGGTGTAATTATTAGCAAGGACCACATTCACTCTTACTCCTAGTGCGCATTAATTATATTTTTTATCAATATCCACTTGACCACTTCTGCTGGTCCCTTTAAATTAGGATTGAATTTGGGCGATCGAATTAAAATTGGATGAATCAATAAATGAGTTATGGTCAACTCCTATTCTAAGTTTATATGTGTAATGATAGACTTAATATAGGTCATAACTTATAGTGCTCTTACTTTTTAAAAAGTTTTGATATAGATATGATAATATTTTGAAAGAATTTGAGCAACATAAATCATAACCGAACTTGTCCGACTTTGAGTACCCATTATTTTTTCAGTTCCTAACCTACACATCATGAGTACTACGTAGTGTAAGAAAGAATATACCATAATAAAATGGTGATTCGAATGCGTTATTTGTTGGAAAAATTACCTAAATACACAATGTATTTTATCATATTCTCTAAAATCACCCATTATTGAAAATATTAAGTACAAAAGAGTAGGGTTATGATATAATTAACTCTTAGCACTATGAGATTTGTGTTTGTTAGACATCAAGATCAAAAATATTTTTTTCATGGGTTAAGATTGGGCAACACCACACACATATTTGGGCTGCTGATTTTTGATAGGTTAACTTGGGCAATGACCCAAATCAGCCCATCATCAAAACTACTCTAATCCAAGCCCATTAAAACTTGAGTGAATTGGACGGATTGCATAGGTTTGAGTCAATTTTGCAGCCCATCCTTAAAATTCACATAAATTTGGGAAATTCCATTTTGCATGAAATTCCAGATATATATATCAGTTGCTTCAAAACGCAGTGAAAGGCTACCCTTAAGATTTCCTTTTATTTAACTGTCACTACTACACCAGACCCCATTGTTTATAAAAGAAAGTTAACAGAAGTTGCATAAAACTTTTAACAGATTCATCTCTAAATGAGTTATAGCTAAAACAATATGTTACATTAGCCATGGTCCTGTTAGAAAATTTGATCCAACTATAATTTCACACAACCAACTTGTATTACATACCTCTTACAAATCACTAACACACCAAATTGGACAATTCAAATGATACTCGAAATTTACACAAGGAATCAGCTAGACAACTTATATAGATGAGTAATTTATCCCTTGATTTGACAGAGCCCCCGAGCTTTCTTCATTGCATACAACAACAGAAGCCTCCTTCAATCCAACTAAACACTGATCTTCAACAATTTCCTTTTACATGATACCGTAAACTTCTAATGCTCCGTTACCTTTGGAGTCGTAACATGGTCTAATCGGCGGGTATTTCCTGACTCTGCATAGGGTCTGACAAATGTACGACGCCACCAGACTTCAAATGCTCTCTGAAGATTTGGACAATTATCACCAGACTTGAGGAAACTGCCTAACCAAGAAAGCAAAATGCTCTGCTGTTCCTCCAGAGGTAGTGTTAGGATTGTCCTGCCAATTCCTTCCTCCACAAC